TAGCAACCAGCAACAAAAAAATAACACTACAACATTCTATGTTTGCTCGAAGTAACACCTACAATGAGCATTTGTGTTGAGACTTATCCCGTTTCGAACAGCTTTCGATGCTGGGCTGTCTAGACTACGATGTCGGTATTCGATTATCCTAAATAATTAAAATGTAAACCTCGTATTCGATTATGCATTTCCATTAATACGTATTACTGAAGGATAAGTTGTGCTCATGAATCTACTTGGATTCAGCCCCAAGTGCTGTACATGAAGAGAAAATCGATTAGGTCAATATTGGTCCTTTGTAAGGACTTCTAGCCCTAAATATCGAAGGTTACATCTGCGTATGAAACCTAACTCGTATGGTCCAAAGAAGACTGATAACTCTGCAGCTGACGAAGGTTGATAGGTTACACTGAGCTAGTTATACTCCGCCTTCGCTCTCGATCTGCTCAAACGCTTTTCTGTATTAGGCTCTATGACCATTTAGCATGTTTCATTAGTGCCTCCCGGCAGACCTAATAAATGTTCCGTAGGAAAGAAATGCAACAAATATATATGATTTCTTCATATACGGATATTTTCGAGTTTGACGGTCAAAGTTAGCAAGTCAAACTATAAGGATGCACAACAAACAAGTCGGAAAACGGCAGTAGGCTAATTCGCATCATTACCTAATGCTGGTTATTTAATTAGTGCAACTAGCCAACGTAAGATAACGTAACCTCCGAAATGACAGTAGCATATAAACCACAAAAGACAAGTTTCAAAATTTGCAGCCAAGTAACCGTCAAAGAATACGCAGACGAGGAACGGCTAAGCCAGAATGTAAGGCCGTTAGACTGGGCAGGCTCAAATCATAACATATATATTAATCATAACAAATGATAAATTCGAAATATTTTCTAACTGTATAATAGGTTTCCGAAATTTATATTCTAAAAAATATGAAATTCGATATTGCTAAGGGGTTCACACGACACAGGTCGAATAATCGGATATAAATTAGTTATTAAAGGGATAGGACGTCGGTACCGATAGGGTTGAATAGTGAAAAACAAAGGCCGGCAAGCTATGTCACCGTTAAGGTCGATGCGAATAATCACGGAGAGTATAATAAAAATTTATGGAATACTGGAATACTTACTATTTTTGCCTAAAAGGTTATTTGGACGGCTGTCTACAACTCTTTCGGGGTTAGGAAGAAGGCCAAGTATGGTCGATGAGTTGGGAGCCTTATGCTGCAACATCAGACCAGGATAGGAACTTTGGCATATTATCGGCTATTAAAAAGGAAAATCCTGGAGGCAAACGCAGTCTTGACATAGGCGAAAAAACCAGAATCCCGGACGCGGCAGACGGCCCGTAATGCAAAATGAAATCCAGCCCACTAAAACAAGCGGGCAGAATCGATTTCGATAATGTAGTCCTCGATACCACAGCGCGATTCGAGCCGGTGGGTCTCTAACACACAAGGTTTTCTTCCACGGAAATCCCTTCTGGGATAAAAGAGAGTTAAATAGTGAACTGATTAAAAATATAGAAAGGAGGGGCTGAGGATAACCCAACAAAAACTGTCATTTGGAATGCAAGTCGAAGTCTGTCGCGAGAGGATGAAAGCATAGAAACTGTCCGCAAATCAAACATAAAACACTTTAAAAAACTGCACAGGCCGCAAAAGTATTGCAAAAGGTTGGTGAACTATAAAAAAAATATTTAACGATTGTCAGACTGTCAAGAAAACGAACAACAAACAAAAGTATATAATATGCACAAACACCGAATGAAACACAGGCAAAAGAAAACAGTAAGCCGAATATATGAATAGAAAAACAACAACGGAAATTAAGGTCGTATGCATATATCAAAGATGACTGTGGTGATCATGTCCAAATAAGCTGTTTAAGAGGCAAAGGGTAAGCTCTGTAGATGGTACTCATGAAATCACCGTACAACAGTTAGGCCACGAACATTCAAGCTCTCCCGGGCTAGACACATGTATTAGTAGTGCTCTGGGAATATATACATCTTCTTATGTCCGAGAAGCTCACTTGTATGATAAGCAGCGCTTGGCGTTTTAATTTCGATGGCCTGCAGTAATTGCTGTCGGAAAAATACATAAATATTTTTTTTTCAAGATTTTAGCGCCCAGAGGTTACTGTCAAAACAGAATTAGTACTGAGGTTGAATAATGACACTGCGCACGCTGGTGTTCTATTTGAACGGCCAGATATACAGTAGCAATGCGTCAAATGGTAGACCGAGTAT